AGTATAAACCAATTTGATTTCTTTGTGTTCGCCTCTTGATTGTGAGGTAGAGGTTCCTGATCTTCGGTAAACGTCTGCGTAGCTCGTCCCGCCACTCGACTGCTTGAGCTCTGGTAGACTCCAAGAGGAGTGGTGCGAGGATTGGTCAAGATGTGGTTTGTAGTGTGCAGTATGTTAGGACTGAGTTGCTGCCGTGAATGGAGTTGGGCCTAACACCCGTTGATCATTTGGTGTAGTCATAAAATCAGAATAGTATCAATAATAATAATAGGTTGTAGTGTAGATAATATAGGTTGAGATAAGTGAAATAATAAAGGTGACCTAAGGAAAAGAGAGTAGTCGGTACAGTGAGAGAAGACAGAACGGGTCGTGGGAATTTAGCTTGTATGCTTATCCATTGACAGTGTGGTTTCAAATTTTAAGAGGATAAGCCATTGAGACACAAACCATGCATTTCTGCATGATTGTCCAGCTTCCGCTTAAAAGTCTCCACAGATGGCGCTGTAGTCACGGCCGCTGGTAAAGCGTTCCAGAGACGGCAAACTCGAAGCGAAAAGAAATGTGAACGCACTCGAGTCTTTGGTCTCTGGTGTGCTATCCTTAGCGGGTTACCTCGTGGAAGCCTATAATCACTTAATGGCAGGATGCTCTTATTAGGGTGGGCCTGGTCATTTAAGATCTTATAGACGGTGATGAGGTCTCCCCTGTGACTACGGTAACCAAGTGTGAAAAGACTTAATTTCTCCAGTCTTTCCTCGGGTGATTTCTTGCGGAGGCCGATCACGCATTTTGTCGCTCGTCTCTGGACACTTTCTAGAATGTTAGCATCCCTTTTGAGTAGCGGAGGAGCAATGATATTATGCACCTCAAGGAGTGGCCTCACGTATGTCGTATACAACCTTAAGAATAGTTCGGGAGTAAGAGCTCCCAGCTGCCTATGCATAAAGTGTAAAGTTGCGTAAGCTTTGGCGACGTCCCTCGTGTAATTTACACTGGTGTCTAGCTTTTCTGTTAAAATAAGACCTAGGTCGCGTTCTGATGGCACACAACTCAAGTTCTGGCTACCAAGGGTGTAATTTACACTCTGTGACCTACCGGAATGAAGTTGCACTACTTTGCACTTCTTTAGGTTGAAAGGCATTCCGTTAGCCAGAGCCCAGTCTCCCAGAGTTTGCAGGTCAGTCTGCAATCTATCGGAGTCTTCCGATGAGTTTATTGCTCTCCAAATCTTCAAGTCGTCAGCGTAAAGAAGCGCAGAGCAGTTCAGTTGACAAGGCAGGCCTTGCTTATTTTGTGTACGAGCAGACCATGGTGAACTGTGGCTAATGCTTTCGCAAAGTCGAGAAACATCACATGGACTGGTACCTTTATTTTTTTGGTTGCAGCTTGATTCCACACAGTATTTTCAGGACAAGTATGGAATTTTCAGCATGAATATCGGTAGCCCAAATCTTGCAGGCCGACCATTGATACCTGGTGTGAGTCGGCAGGAGATCGAACCCCGGACCATGTGCATGGTAGGCGAGAGTCCTAACCGCTATGCCACTACGCACAAGGATAGTGTCCAAACGTTCCTCAGGGTTCTATCTTAGGGCCGTTGATGTTTTTGATTTTTATCAACGACCTGCCTTGTCAACTGAACTGCTCTGCGCTTCTTTACGCTGACGACTTGAAGATTTGGAGAGCAATAAACTCATCGGAAGACTCCGATAGATTGCAGACTGACCTGCAAACTCTGGGAGACTGGGCTCTGGCTAACGGAATGCCTTTCAACCTAAAGAAGTGCAAAGTGGTGCAACTTCATTCCGGTAGGTCACAGAGTGTAAATTACACCCTTGGTAGCCAGAACTTGAGTTGTGTGCCATCAGAACGCGACCTAGGTCTTATTTTAACAGAAAAGCTAGACACCAGTGTAAATTACACGAGGGACGTCGCCAAAGCTTACGCAACTTTACACTTTATGCATAGGCAGCTGGGAGCTCTTACTCCCGAACTATTCTTAAGGTTGTATACGACATACGTGAGGCCACTCCTTGAGGTGCATAATATCATTGCTCCTCCGCTACTCAAAAGGGATGCTAACATTCTAGAAAGTGTCCAGAGACGAGCGACAAAATGCGTGATCGGCCTCCGCAAGAAATCACCCGAGGAAAGACTGGAGAAATTAAGTCTTTTCACACTTAGTTACCGTAGTCACAGGGGAGACCTCATCACCGTCTATAAGATCTTAAATGACCAGGCCCACCCTAATAAGAGCATCCTGCCATTAAGTGATTATAGGCTTCCACGAGGTAACCCGCTAAGGATAGCACACCAGAGACCAAAGACTCGAGTGCGTTCACATTTCTTTTCGCTTCGAGTTTGCCGTCTCTGGAACGCTTTACCGGCGGCCGTGACTACAGCGCCATCTGTGGAGACTTTTAAGCGGAAGCTGGACAATCATGCAGAAATGCATGGTTTGTGTCTCAATGGCTTATCCTCTTAAAATTTGAAACCACACTGTCAATGGATAAGCATACAAGCTAAATTCCCACGACCCGTTCTGTCTTCTCTCACTGTACCGACTACTCTCTTTTCCTTAGGTCACCTTTATTATTTCACTTATCTCAACCTATATTATCTACACTACAACCTATTATTATTATTGATACTATTCTGATTTTATGACTACACCAAATGATCAACGGGTGTTAGGCCCAACTCCATTCACGGCAGCAACTCAGTCCTAACATACTGCACACTACAAACCACATCTTGACCAATCCTCGCACCACTCCTCTTGGAGTCTACCAGAGCTCAAGCAGTCGAGTGGCGGGACGAGCTACGCAGACGTTTACCGAAGATCAGGAACCTCTACCTCACAATCAAGAGGCGAACACAAAGAAATCAAATTGGTTTATACTAGCTCGTAAAAACGATATTAGATATTGAAGATAATTGGGCTAGATAACCACCCTGTAAATGAAAGTACCATTTATTACATACTGTTTTGAGTGCTGTTAATTTGTACCTTAACTTATGTTTTCAATCCCCATCATGGTAAATTAGTTCGTCTGATCTACATTGGTCATTGGACACGGGCACTTTAAAGTGTGAGTTGAACCGCTGAGTGTGACACACAAACTCGTAACCGTGTCAGAGCTTGTCGTCATTTCTGTAACAGTTTCACGACCTGGTCTGTGAAGGTACGTATTTTTGTAAAGCACCCATGTATTTTTATTCTTTCTCGTAATAAATTACACAGTTGCTTCACTGTGAAGCTGTGGTTCTTATAAAGATCAAATTCCAAGGATTAACAAGTGTTTTTTGATTCTACTTCCAATTTGTGGATCATGCCACATTTACTTCCTTAGCTAGTTAACTTGAACGGTTCCCACCTATTTGAGTATATGCGCAGGTACCTTCACTCTCTTGCTGTTCAGTTACAACTATAGCGCCCTACTTGCTAAAAGATAGGCCGCACATGTCGGTGTTAGAATTATTTGACTGAAGTTTTCACGGTGTCTGAAGTGTGTCCAAAGTCCATGCTAGCCAGGTGTCACCAAACAGGTGGGGATCTTTTACTGTTTATAGGCCTTTATGAGATGCATCTCACAAATTTCGTATAATCGAAAGAAAGTGGTTGTCTTGGTACGTATCCTATCGCATGAACTTTCAGGGTCGAACTGAATTTTCGAAATTTGCGCAATGAGTATAGTTGGCAACTTCCTGTAAACTAGTACTAGTGTTATGATGCTAAATGATGGCAAACTCTAAGTTGTTACTGCATTTGTATTCGAGATTTTGGGGTCAGTGAAAGTTTTCCATGAAGGTTGAAGCACCAGTGAGAGTAATTTTCGATTATTATTTCACGAAGTCTTCCCAATTTTTCTGAAGTTCGGGATACCAATCTTGATATCTCAATGAGACCTAAAGTGGTTGATGGCTAATCAGATCGCTTCCCAGAGCTGATTGAATTAGTTCCTGAAAGATTTCCACTTAATTCCGTCTACGTCTCGGCTGGAAACTTACTGAGAACCAGTCTCATCTGTACTCTTCGTCTTGTTGTTACATTTACCCCCAATTTTCACGAAACATCTTGGTTGAATTACGCCTTATACTGTCATTGAACTGACTAATATTTAGCACTGGACCGATAAACTTAACATCAACCTATCCATCGCTCAATCAAGTCTTAGCGATGCTGTGAAAGTGCTTGTAGTCTACAGTTTGTGATATGGAATGATTGCACGGATTGTTTAGTATGTGATTTGTGTTTTAATCCACTTTGTTTAGCTGTAGCATGTTAATTAAAATAGGAAAATTATTTGGAGAAGTTCAAGTTCCAAGTATGCTAATAGTTACATTTCGTAGGCGTGTGATTATACAGTGCTAGTCACAGTGTTGCAAATGCATTTACAGTCTGTTATCGAGGTAAATGTATACGTAATTTGGTCTATTAACATGTAACATTTAAACGCCATTCAATGAGACAGTAACATACATAATACTGATCAGAACTGCTTAATATGACAGTGACGTTTTCTAGTTTTTCTGTACGCAGCCGTAGTGTTACATCACCTAATACATATAAACTAATTTTCCTTTCTTTCCAGCTGGTTAAAGCGGAAGCTCGAATAAATTTGAATAGCATTTTTGGGAAGGAGTTAACGTGTGTTTGCAGAGTTTTCTTAATGAAGAGCCCACTTTCTTCAAATGTGTACGTCTCGAATGCAGAGGCTAAGCTTCTGAGGTTGAAAGGGAACCTAACTAACGAACTGATTACTTCTGAGATTAAGTACATCAGTTATCTTAAAAAAGTTCTAAAGGTAAATCCTTACCTTTCAATGATTGTGCCAGTACTTTGCGAGACCATTGTGTGATCATAGGTACTTACCGGAGGATATACATGCTGAGATATTTGGACGCCTGGTGCCCATTTTAAACGTCAACGAGACTCTTTTGGAGTCCCTGCTGACAGTTGGAGTTGAGAAAGCCTTCTTGAAAATTTCTCCGTGCTTAAAACTGTATGCAGACTATGCTCGTCGCTATCAGACAAATGTTGTCTTTATGGAGGTAAATTGTGGCAGATTACTTTTATGGAGTGATTGAAATAATATGATCCCATGGATTACTTTAAACACTACTCAATAGTAGAAACATTTATTAATGAGCTTATAGAGTATCCGAGTGTTAAAATAGAACAGGGGCGGAGGTAAAGAATAGTGATTGTAAATAATTCATATAAGAATCTTATAAAAACCGAACTTTTGTCTTCCATTGGTTTTAAGGTGTAGAGATGTGCGTAGATCACATAGATCCCAATGTCTTAGAACCTGTAATGCCTGACACTACTGACAATGAGGTGAGCGCACCTGAGATTTTCGGGAAGAATGGTACTTAAATTACCTCTCAGGATAGACGACTGGGGCATTGGACGGAACACTTTGTAGAGTAATCCAGCTGGCTTGCAGCCACATTAAACTTACCCACCATCGAGCACTTTCCTGAGTGGGATGTAAACATGGGTGCTCCAAATGTACTTGAGGTCGCGCAAACTGTCTTTAGTCTAGAACGAGGTAAAGTAGCAGGACCTGATGGTGTGGCTTCAGGGATGATGATGGCCCATTGACTAGGTCAGCTGAGTTGTTAGTTAACGTGCGGAAATCAGAGATAATACCGTTAGACTGGTGCAAAAAACCGATTGTCCCAGTTTATAAAGAGAGAAATAAGTCTTCACGAGGTACTCATAAAGGGATAAGCTCGACTAATATAGTATCTAAAGTTCTAGGCTCAATAATCATGCGGTACTTGCGAGGAACAAGTCTGGAATTAACCAGTCAAGCTTTATGCCAGAAAGATGGTGTATTGACCATATTTCCAACCTTCGACAGATTCTGGAAAATAAGAATTTTTACAGGCGTTCAACACTTGACTCGAAGACGCCATTTGATTCAGTCGACTGAGAGGTGTTGTGTAAATGTCTGGCCATTAGGGGAGTACTGATAAGGTGTATTGCACTAATCAAATTCGAAGTCATCCATGTTAGAGTTTGTGGAGAGTTGTCACGTGGAGTGATGACAACCAATAGTTTCCTTCAGATACGCACAATGTCTCAGTTTTTGTTTAGTACATGTACTAATGGATGTAACCCTAATCGTCTTTAGTGACCTAGTGATTGCTTTGTTACTAGTGAACAATTCCGTCAACTTGGAGTATGCGAATGATGCTGTCCTTCTGAATAAAGATGCTGACAAAGTGTGAGGTTTTCTGAACACCTTGAGGAGAAATCTTGGTATGTTAGGTACACAATTAGCTCGTGTTAATTGTAAGGAGATGATGCAAGACTGGTCTACATCGACTGTTAATTTGAGGATCGATAATGAAGTGGTTGAGCGTGTTAGTAAATTGCTATCATGCATCTTGATTCTTCGAGGTGTAATTCGTCAAAACGATGTAGCGAAGCACATAATATCACATCATTCATCTTTGTAGTTATAATGGGATTTGCGAGAGAAGCGGATTGTGAGAAGGGATTTTTGTTAACAGAAAATCTATTGCTCTATATGCTTTGCTTAATGCACATTTTAGTCAGACAGTTAGTATTCTAATATGTTTTACTGTGACTTGTTTTATTTCCAGACTTGTATTACATTCACACCTGGTCTACTGGAATTCATAAATAAACAAGAAAACTTACCAGATGTTAATTTGCAACTTGCTGCATTTCTAATCATGCCTATACAGCGTGTTCCCCGGTTAGTTTCCAATTTGTGAAGTTTTTCAGATGATTTGTCAGTTTACACCATACATTGATTGAGGTCTGATAAAAACTATCTAGGAGATGTAACCTTTGTGCTGAACACTATTGACCTGTGTAGATACAAAAGATTTATTCTGCATTCACTAAGAATAATAAAGAGAATAAGAAATTGTGAATGAGTGCTTCGACTTGGATTACTATATATGAGTACAATGCATACTTGATTCAGTATGATAACCAGTTTGTATGTGATAATCAGTGAATCGAATCTCAGTGGCAATCGTCACTTGGATAAGTTAAATCACATGTGTTATCATCTCAATTGCATTTAATGAGTACTTTAATAAAGTGAAAGTTTTGATTTCATAATATTGCGCCAAGTGAGTCAGTGGTTCAGTAGTAGAATGCTCGTGAATCACACACGCGGCCTGGGTTCGACTCCCGACCGCTGAATTCCCACACCTCACATATCTGGTAATAAGCCAGGTAAAGATGGAAGGATTAGTGTAAGACAAACCATCTTAAAGTGTAAGCAAAGACCATCGCTACTAAAACTTCAAAGCACGGACTTAAAGCCCGATGCTCCGCATGGAATGCAAAGAAATAAATGGTGGTCAGTGAAACTCGTATGTGCAACATAAATCGTTGGGCGTTAGTTCATTAGGTGGCAGTGTATGTTCCATTTATTGTGTTGACTTCTTTGCCCTTCTCATACACTTGTTAAACATGTAATAATCCTTTTTCAGGTACTCCTTAATGCTTCAAGAACTCGTCACTATTTATCTGCAACTAGATGGTCTGACTAGTACTGAGGCGAATGATGTTGCTGTAAGTATCACTCAAGCCGCTCATCATGACAACATGATACCAGAATATGCAGCCACACTTATTTTGAAGTTGTGGGAAAATTATAAACAAAGGGATTGCAGTTCACCATCTAACAGTTCTAATTTTCCAGTCGTACGAAGTTATGTTCATCGGATGAAACCCTGTACAATTATTCTGTTGGCAGGTTTTGCTAGTGTTGTGTCAACAGCAACATTCCTGAATGAACAGATAAGAATAAGTGAACAGGCAACAAAGGCTACATTATTGCAATCGAGACTTTTGGGGAAATGGTCACGTAATTTAATTCTGGTACCTGGTCGGAGGTTATTAAAGTATGGAATCGTAAAGAAGGTAGGTTTTATGAATACGAAAAGTGAATTCTGTAAGAATATGCAGTAAATTAACAGGATTTTACTTTGGAATTATGATTGTATTGGGAAAACAATTGCTTTTGTTCTCTATGGGTTAGGTCTTCGAAGGCTCTTATACTTGCTAATATAATGTGGCATGATGCATTTCCTAGAAGCTATTTGGGATTCAGGTATACAAGTTTACTGTATAAACGCAGGACTTTCGAGCTGTGTGACGCTAATCACAATACTTAATTAAAGACTACTTGTCTTTGTGTAAGTTAAAATAAAGCGAAATGTGGTTCAATGAGCATATACAGATTACTTCAGTAAGCTACCTGCAACTGTTGTCTTGGGAGTGGTGATCCTGTTTAGTTGCTTAATTATCAGATAATTAGAGTGTTTAGGTTCATGAGCTGCAGATACAGTCACTTTAGCCTTGTATTCAATGGTATTTTGTATGTAGTTACTTTTGTTTTGTGTGATGTACATATATTCATTGTTTCCTTTGTTCTAGAAAAATTCATTGGATGGAGTGGCTGAACCTCGTTTACTGGTGATTCTGTCTGACATACTGGTGTATGCTACACCCCGAACTCAGACAGACTTGGAATCCATTTTCAGTAATAAGTTGGTTCTTGGTCGAAAATGTCCAGAATTTTTAAAATCGTTTTCTGCAGGAAAAGCACCCTTAAAGTGTGTCAAACTTATGCAGAGGAGAAATAACGCAGATCCACTGACCCGAGTTTCCAAATATTCTACGCCAGTTTGCTCCCAGAATTCTGTTTTTCAGAGTCTTTTGGATTCGGATGACTGTTTGACAAACAGTAAAGTATGCTTTTCATGTGTTTCTGTCTATCCCCTTCATCACTGTCGTATCCAAGTGAATTTTAGACCTTCGTCCAACTTTTTGCAACCTATTCCCGAGTCCCCTGAAAATCAATCAAATAAAACCAATTCAGTGTTTGTTTCCCCAGGATCTACTGTGAATTTTCATAGTAAGTGTACATTAATTTCTTTAATGAATTATTGGTTTGAATATCGGCTTCATTTTTGATTTGGCTTTGCATGTATTTACTTTCGGAATGAATGGGTTCTGTCAGACCGAAGGCTGATGAAATCAAAGGGTAAGTAAATAAGACTCTTTTTGAATTTGACAAGTTGTGTGATATGTGAAACTTAAGATACGTCTTCATGTATGTTATAGATTAAACTCAGAATGCATCGATCAAGGGGTTCGAATTTGTGATTGTACAGCATTCTTTTTAAAGACAGAAATATGTGAAGGTTGTTCATTGCTGATGAAAGCATTGGGTGAGTTCTGTTGAACTCAGGTATAGAAAAGTGAAGGGATAAGGCAGCTCAATTCTCGGTACAGGCAACTTCCAATGACTGCCTACGTCAGGTAGCCATAACGGGTATTATATGATTGCATCACAATAGTCTATTAAATTTGTCAGATGCGCATTGTGTTTCCTGTCTACTGTATCAAGGGTTAGAAATCAGTTTCTCAGTGGCTTCTTTCGTACATGGGAAAGTCGGTTTGAAGTTGTAGGAATTAAACTATTTTGAGGGAGGTCGCTGTAAAGCTGCTTAATTTCGATTCAAATCAAATACGTTGTTTGATTTTATTTACTCTGAAATGATTTAAATTGGCGTTTCTGTTTTTCAGATCGTACGGCGTCTACACCACTTGTATTTGATGAATGTTCATGTGATGCTTCTCCTGTGGTTAAATTTAATAAATTTGATTCATCAATTAAATCCGATAAAGATGAAGGGTTGTCTAAACCTTGTCAGTCCGTGAATGAATACAGTTTTTCCGTAAGTCTTATTCAATCATGGGATATATTTTGTTTCAGTTCATAATAGCGGTGATGGTGCATTACGGTTAATAGTCCATTTTGGCTCCAGTTTGATTTTTGAAGAAAGAAGTAGAGGGAAATGTAGAGTTCACGTTTTGTTGTTTACTTGTCTCTAGTATATCGGTTGGGATGTATCATTTTCCCTACCCTTATAAATTAGGTGTCCATTCTACTCTTATTGTGTATAATGTATGATAATTGATATATTAGATTGTTGTTTCATGTCATTCTGAAATACCTGGATATCATGAATTAAAAGTCGGTCTTAAGGGATGATATTCTTTTCATTAAATTCTCTCTAGGTCCTCACAGTAGTTATCACCACTGTCTGACTGACTGGTAGAAGCATAGAACTTTGCACCGATGTGCAGCAGTTCGAGTTGTCACACTTCACCTGGCACACAAAGCAAGAGGAGAAAGTAAGAAGAAATGCAAAATGGAGACAGCAAACAGAGATATGAGGCGAAATGAATAGTAGTATCGAAGAGCCATATAGTTTTATTGGATATTATAAGTCACACGGAGTGGATGCACCTGCACTAGCCATTGATAACGATTTTTAGCCATATCACCAATTATCTCCATCCGCTGGTTTTTATCCTCCCGAGGGCCCCAACCAGGAAGTCTACACCTTCCTATGTTATCACAGCAATAAGACCGAGGAATTCGGTGAATACATTTTCAACCTTGAGTATAAAACTCGTCTGATTTCAAATCAGTGAATGCATTCTATGTGACGAATGTTTTCACATACCACATACCTGCCTATTGTTGCAATTTTGAAATTTACTCCATAACTGTCTTTAGGGAGGTGAAGAGAATTTCGATGAAAAGAATATTCTTTATGCAGTTGAACTACTAGCTTATATCACGCTATAAATGGATATTCGATTATGTATCTATTGTCAAGTGATCCTATTTGTCAGCAGTTTGCTAGCAAGTAAGGATCATACTCACTCACTAACTTTAAACCAGAAAATTAGTGAACCCAGTTGGATTTGTACAACACCTGTCCGTACCTAGCTGTCAGCCTTTCTCTTAGTCACACGAGTTGATTTTCGCACCAATGAGGTCTATGTTTTCGTTGTTATCTGATCAGTCCTGATGCCTCCTTACCTCGATTGATTTCTTGTATCACATCGAGTGTGATCATAACCGCTTTTGCTTTATTCAATGCTTGTACTTGTTTTCCTAGTATTATCGTTGGTAGTGCAGTTTTATTTGGAATTTATGTAATCAACTCGCAACTATGGTTGATATTCTCGACTCAGTTCTAATTACAACCTCTCCACATTATGCTAACTTTTATCTAACATCAACCCGTTACCCGAAGTGAAGCTATGTAACTGTCAATTCCGAAGTGTTAGTGATAGTTTACCGACCAGTTTGGCAATACGGCGATTCAGTTGGGTGATACAGTAGTGCATTACTTCGTGTTTAGTGCTAGATGTCATGAGTCAGTGTCTCATTTCAGTCGGTTGTTTGCATCTAAAATCTCTCCTTTGAATCAATTTACTTCTAAGCATAGGATGTATTCGTCTCTAGAGAGTCTGTATGTTTTCTCTTGTAACTTTCCGTTTTTGTTTATAATTTTGAGTGAGGATGATTTTCGGTTACTGAGCAGTGAATATTTCTTGTAGGTACATTGTCGTGATGCTAGTTTCACAATTGTTACTAAAGATTTAGCAGGAGCCGAGGAGTGGATATCTAGTCTCGAGACAGCCATTGAGTAAGTTTCATTCTTCTTTGTACTTCGATTGTAAACCGTGGGTATTTGGCCGTTGGTATAATGAAATCTACTTGTAGTTTGAGAAATTGTCGAGTATTTTCTGAGCTTTGACGTGTAATTGTGTTTTCTTCAGTCACAAATTGACGAAGAACAGCCAACAGCCCCATGCTCATACGCCTTTAGATATCCTGTATGTTATTTCATAGTTGTGTAGATGTTGAGCCGAGGCATACAATGAGTGGGTTTATCTGGCAAATAAACGGCTTAGTTTGTAAATGCATCATGAGGGCTTTTGACCTTTATTATGAGTAAATTGCAAGTAATTCTTTGTTAATGGACTATGTTCTGTTCATAGTCATGTAGCTATGTTTGCGTTCAAGTGAGCATAAGAATTCCTGAGTCTCGTACAATGAGAAAATGGTGTTGAATAGTTGTCTTTTGCCTTTGAATAAATGATGTATACGTGAAACGGAGAGTTATTTTTCAATAAGTCCAGTGATAATACAATTGAGTTAACTGGGTAGTAATAATAAAAACGATCTGTTTTCAGTTTAAACACATAGAAGTTTTGTTTGTCTGTAATGTTGTGGTAGTTAGGTGTCGCATTGTATTGAACCAGTTGCACACACAATAGGGAGACAGAAGGATAATCATGCTGTCAAAGAGGGATATGGGTATGGTAAAAGAAGAAATTATCGCAGCCTTTCTGGATCAGAAAGATAACGAGGAATGGAGACATGAACTTGTACCGCGTTTCGGTCTCACTACCGCTAGCTGTTTCATAATCTAATGCTGCTTCAGCTGACATTTCCAGGCCAGAATGGCGATGGATTGTCATGGGTGGTACGTGTCCCAACTACATCAGTCTATGAAGTTTGGCAGCTTCATTGGTTGATTCGTCCTTCTCTTACTCAAATACACCACTCCTAATCTTAGTGTTATTTACTGCGTTGCTTCAGGTAAAGTCAACAACTAAATGAAAGCATTTGCGGTAAGAAAAACCTGTGAATTTTCTTGTTTTACATTCAGTAATAGAGTGGCGCAGAGGGGACTGTACAGGTGAGGTTTGATGTATGGCTGGATGTTAACCGAGTTGACACAAGTTGGAAAATTCCAAGTGATGTGTTTGTAGCCGTGACAAGAGTTTGCGAGTTATCAATCCATGTAGGTTGTCTCAACTTCCTAAATGAGTGAAGTGGTCAGTGTATTTATTGACCGTTCTACTCTTAATCTGTAATCCATAATTCGGTATAGACCAGTCATGTAAGGTTGTCTTACATTCGCTAGGAAGTGTATCGTGTCAAACATGCTGAAGTTTTGTCGAGGTTTTCAACAGACGATGTCCTATTGATGTATCCTTAGGGGACACAATATCACATTTTGATTTATTGATTTATTTACTAACTTGATGTGATCCTTTCTATTACTTGTAAATTATTTTTTCTTGCCTTTACCTACTCAGAGCTGTTAAAACAGCGCGACGGAGTCTTCGTAAGGAAAGTAGTGCTAAATGGCCAATGCGTGCTTCAGATTTTATTCAGTTTGAACAGTGGTTGGAGCAAAAGCGGTCAGCTGAAGAGGTATGCAGCATTTAATTTGCAAGTTGCCCAAAATGTGGTGTTGTTGATAGTTTTATTAATGGTGTTATCGAATGAAATTTTATAAACGCGTGTAAAGTATTATCATCACGGTAGAGGTATATGCTTTTTATCCTAAGGGTGGAGTTTCATCTCTTCGAAATATCACACTTAGGATGAATGCAATGTAGTGTTGTGGGTATGAAGGTATAGCTGCAAGCTAGAATGAAGAGCCTTTTGATGCTCTTTAGTTTTTCACATGGTTCAGTAGGTAACGTGAGTTGGTGAAATCCTACTGTTTTGCAACATCGTAAATTTGTCGGTACCTGTGCAGTTTATCAGTCATAATATGGATATTTTAGAAGGCATTGATAGGGGAATATGGCTGTACCGCGATGGTCGTTTAAAATGTAAGACGTGGGTTATTTGATGGTGCATCTTCCACAGGAAACATTGAGCATAATTTCGTTTCATTTCAAATTGAATTGTCGGTGTGTGGCTAAAAATGGAACTATTCTAAATGACGATTTGACAGTTTCATTCTTATTTTCCTGTTTTACGGAGATTTTGTCACCGCTGCATTTCATGATTATTTCATTTTCCTTCAATGTGCACTATACTAGTGTATTTCAGTAACGAACTTACTTTAGGAGAAGAAGAGAAGATGCATCTTTGAAATTTTAGTCGTCATTCGCATTGATTCTGTTTTGATTTTGTGCAACGCGTGAACTGCCACTTTTGAGTAATCTGGTATTGTATGATTAGGCTGATTTGTTATATTGCATATATTTTAATAAATTCTTAATGTCACTTTGATGTAAAGCACAAGTGAGATGCTTGCAGAAACCAGTTAATCTACTTTTACTTTTTGGTATGATACATTTAGTCCATGAAGTGTTCTGAAATCTTCCAAAGTATGGGAGTATCTGGGATCGCTGATGACAGTGTTCTTGCATCTTCAAATATTCTTGACTGTTCGAAGGTGGAAAAGAAACTTGAAGAGTATCGCAGGCGTAAGTCAATAGGTTGTGAACATGAAAGGATCAATCGTTTGTCTTACATATTTTGTGACAGTGGCAGTTACGAATTTAACCGGAAGAAATCAGAGCGAAAGGCGTCCTGTGGAATTTCTCTGAGTTCAGTGATATCGAGACTAAGGAGGAAGACATTCACTCCCACTGATGAAGTAAGTTAGTTTCAAGCCATGAGATCTTTTATGGTTTCACATATTTTTCATACGATATTTCCTTAAATACAGTTTTCATATTACTTTGTTGGTACTTCTAAACATACTTCCTGAATTTCCTGGTGTTTCTGAATCGAGTTATTATTACAAACAAAGTGTTTTGGTTTCAGCACTGTTCTCATGACTAGTTTTCCTCTACTGGAGTGTTGTCCATATCCTTTCATGTTTGCACACTTCCTTTTTCTCTAGGACTTGAATGTTTTCAAACTACTGCTTTTTGAGTAGGCAAGTTGCTGAGATCTTATGTAGAGGAATTCGATGTGGACAGTACTTTTTATTTGGGGTGGGGGGGGTTGCCTTAGTTGCATAATTTCGCATATTGAATTTACTGTGATGATATTTTGAATTATTCAATGCTTTCGATTATTTTCAGATATCTGAATATTCAGACAGATCTGTTCGTCTGTTGTCTGTAACCACTACTTCAAATGAGGATGAAATTGGTTCTAGTGGAGTGAACTCTCAAAGTCAAGTGAATACTGATAGCCGCCGTCGTAATCAAGTTGAGGGGAGTTTGCCTTCTACCTGTGATGTGTAATGGTGAGTAGAGTTTACTCCGAATATTGTGAATATTAATGTTGAGGTGTGTTTTTGTTTTCATGTGGTAAGTTACATTCGGGTATTTTAGTAAGATTTTTAACCTAAGATTACTCGGAGTAATGTGATGCATTGTTGCATAACATATCATATCATTCGAAGTTGCTCATTTTCGTTGATTGTGAGAAAAGGCTTTTAACATGTATCCCTTTGTTTTACGAAGGTATGTCTTTTCTGTTCGTTAGTGTATGTGTAATTAAGCTTCTTTACGATGATCATCTAATGGCAGTTTGTTTTCTGTTTTGAAAAAAATCAAGACTACTGTTTACAACTTCGGGTACATGAGTGACTTTGAAAGTCTATGGAAGATTGTTAGAGATCTTGGATAATACGCTGTTTTCTTATATGTGCCTTATCTACTCAGTTGTAGACGAGAAATGCATGTCGAGATCTATTTAAGGACTTTATAGTTAGTATGGTTGATAATGTTGTTGGCTGTATTCCTCGGTGTAAAATGCAGTGTCCACTCGGTTACTTTTTGCATGCCTACATTCATTGACAATCGGTTGTGTGCTTCATTCGAACAAACAAGTGTATTGTAAAATGATATCACTCTTATATACTTGTTCCATGTCTAAGGAGGTATAGGAATCGGTGTTTCAGTACCTATTTATTTATGAATCCAAAGATAGTTTAAATCGAAAGAATTCGTTTTCAACTAGTTTACACTAAAAGCTGTGTAACATACATCAATGAGCCTTGCTTGTATCGAGTTGTCCGTAGTAGAAAGACAGCTTTTATGTTTCAGGAAAGAAGCTACTAGGATGTTATTAGATGATCCCCCGCATTCCTGACTTCATTTTTAATAAACGTGAAATATGTGCGATTGTCATGAGAGCATATGTGTATTAATTAATCAGGGTAATGAGCGAAGAAGTCTTTATGCGGATGGAGTTTGAGAAATGGTTTTAATCAGTTAGCCGAAATCCATGATTGGTTAATATCTAATAATAAGTCATTTTTGCATGCACTAACCTCTAAAAAGGTGCGTCGGTGGCACAGCGGTTAGGATGCTCGCCGACCATGTACATGGTCCGGGGTTCGAACCCCGACCGACGCACTCCTTTACCTCGCTAAGCCAGTGATAGAACTGGCAAAGAGGGGAGGTTGGGCATGAGGCTAGCAACCCCATCCTGTAAAAATAAACACTGCTAAAGAAACTTCAAGCCTCTAGCTTGAAGCCCTATGTTCCACTGGGAACGTGAAGGAATAAAAAAAAAAAACCTCTAAAAAGGCTTGATGATATATAATTGAGAGAATAGTGAATGTTGAATCTGTAGTTCAGTATCCTGAATCCATTTCCTACATGAAGCAGATAAAACAACTGAGTTGATCAATTCAGTTTTGGGTTCATTAGTGACAGTGGTATTTAACTAAAGATAGAAGAGAGTTGAACTACTAGGTGTGTGTAGAACACCTCAATTATACGCAGTATTATTCACAATGAGTAATTTACAAAACTTTGATAATTTAGAAGTTTGTGAGCGTGGGAAACTTTGACAGAAATTTTTCATTAGCGTGAGTAAATGGTTCTTAGTCTTCCCCCATCTCTCCCTGTCTGTTGATAAATAATTTGTGGATCTGTCATGTTTGTGTGTGTGATGTTGCTTTAACTTCCTCATCTCACTTTAAATGTTTGTATATTAATGATGTCTGTGTGTATGTGTGTGGAGAGCACAAATGATGAAGGCTTGCTTAGTTAGGGTGGTGTGAGATTACACCACTTGAATAGAAAGTGTTGATTAAAAAAGATTGAATTGTACTCAGATAAAATCCTTGAAGAAGATGTATGTTTTCTCTATTCGTGGACTTTTCTATGGCCATATTGCTTAATTAGTGTAGACATGAAAATTTAGTGTTATGTAAGTTTTGTGAGTGAATCCAAAATTGTTATCAAGTATGTAGGCTAGTTATAGAAATCGATTTAAATGTTGGTTAGTTAGACATTGGTTAGGGGAGTTCATATTCTTTCGTAAGTATATGGGGAGAAATGTTTCACTGTTTTAAGGCGAAATGTGAATTTTTTTTGAAACTGCATACTCTGAGTTTAATTCACTCATTAGCTAGAAAAGGCGCTGTAGTGAATTCATATGAATTTACCTTAGTTTGTTGGCTATGTTCGACAGTTGTATAGCTATTATTTTTTATTAATTGCACAGTCGATTTGATAACAAGTGTCTAGGTTAATGACTGTGTAATGGTGATGTAGGTTGATTAGTTCAAGGAAGTGACCTTCAGTCAATGAGTCCTGAATTCCAATCCCACTTCACCTACTTCTGACTCAGTGAGTGGTTCATAGTTCTAGTGTGCATAGACCAAACGTATCTCATATTATGCACATGAAAGCTGTGTTCCGAGTAGCTGAGATAATTGGCACCTATTTATAATTGCGAGTTTATTTATAAGAGTAGAATAACATTGCTAGAACAGAGACGAGAAAGAAATGACTGATATAGGAGGGTAGAATAATCAATTATGACGGAAATAGCGACAGTAGTATATTGTGAAGAGAAGAATGCCTTGGACATTGCCGGGTAGTTGACATAAATGGAGATGGTTGCATAGCCATGTGAAGGGATATTGAAAGGAAATGAAATAGGTGAGAGACCATAAGGGTGCTAATGAGATAGATTGGTAAGAAGAAAGATGAATGCAAGTTTGAACCAATTTGTATGATAAGACCGGGATGAAATTTCCGATGAGTTGTGATGAGATGAATGAGTCAGTGCTTGCCATGTTCGTAGTAGTAGTAGTTAGTAAGAGTGTCTTTGTGAGCGCATAATTTGGGCACTTTTGCTCAAGTGGCGATAGGTTGAGCAGTTTGAAGAATGAGTTTGGTTTGTAGTAATGTTTTTAGTCGTTTTCCGCTCACAAGCTTTTGTGAATGGTGTTTGGAGATGGATAAATTATTGTTAATTCGCTTACACAATGAGTGGCTTAAATGTGTACAACATGTATTTCTTTACTGAGTTGGTTTTATTATGTTTTGTTTGCAGGCTATTGTACCTGAAAACGTTTCCAGTGGATTTTACTGTGTATTGGAAGGGCATCTATATACTAGTGGTGAATGCATTTCAAAGCTCTTCTCATCACTTCCGTTATTTCCATGTTCGCCAAAGAAGTAACATTTTGAAAACAATTAGATTG